AAAGGAGGAAGGAGGATGGAGGAAGGAGGAGGAGGATGGAAGTGTTGTGTCAGAAGAATTGTCAGGGTTAGTTGGCGGCGGAGAGGAGGAGGAAGAGGCAGGCGGGGGGACGATGGTTGGTGCAATGCGAGAGGCGCAGCTGATCCGAAGATGTCCAACAAGTCCGATTCAAGCCCGGAATGTCCGTTGACATCGAGGACACGTTTGAAGCGGTTGTGCGGCGGCGTTGCGTACTGGGCGAAGTTGTGATTTTCGGGCTTAACGTTCCGCTTTGGCGGCAGCGATGCTGTTGGCTTCGTAGATCGCAGCGCCTGTCTTCACTGTCCTCCTCCAGGTCGGTCGACCGAGTGCGAGCTCCTCCCAGTTGGTGGGGTTGATTTGCAGGCTTTTCAGGAAGGACTTCAGGGTATCCTTGTAACGGCGAATCTGGCCTCCTTGACGGCGAGAACCCGTCGCGACGTCTCCGTAGAAGAGTCGTTTGGGTAGTCGCTCGTCGTTCATGCGCACCAGGTGGCCGCTCCAGCGCAGCTGCATTTGCCTCAGTATGGCGTAGATGCTGAGGATTCCCGTCCGTTCCAGCACATCAGTGTCGGGGATTCGATCCTGCTAGTTCAGCCTCAGGATGCGACGTAGACAACTGAGGTGGAAGTGGTTCAGACGACGTGCCTGCTTTGCGTACACCGTCCAAGTCTCCGCTCCATACAGTAGTGTCGGCAGGATGACGGCCCTGTACATCTTCAGCTTCGTGCTCAGCTGAAGACCGTGGCGATTCCAAACTGTGCTTTGGAGGCGACCGAAGGCTTGACTGGCTTTCGAGATCCTGTTGGCGACTTCGTCGTCGATCTTGGTGTTGTGGGAGAGGGTACTGGCCAGGTACGGGAAGTTCTCCACCACTTGCAGTTGGGTTCCGTTCATGCTGATTTGCGGCGGCGCGTTGTGGGCTCTGACTGAGTGGGGTGGCGGTTGGTGCATCACCACCGTCTTCTGCGTGTTAATGACCAGACCGAAGTTCTCGCAGGCGGCAGAGAATAGGTCCATGCTCCGTTGCATCTCCTCTTCCGAGGTGGTGTTCAGGGCGCAGTCGTCGGCGAAGAGGAGTTCGTGAACGGTGGTGGTGGATACGCGCGATTGGAAGTACATCCGCCGTTGATTCAGGAGGTGACCATCCGTCCTATAGGCGATGCGGATCCCGGGGCGTTCGTCGTTGTAGGCGTCCATCAGCATGACGGAGAACATAAGACTGCAGAGGGTAGGCGCCAGTACGCAGCCCTGCTTCACTCCATTGGTCACTGCGAATGCCTCTGAGACAGCTCCGTTGTCTGTGACTCGCGCCATCATACCGTCGTGCAGCTGACGCACCATCTGAGTGAATTGCTCCGGACAGCCGAATTTCTGCATGATCTTCCACAGTCCTTCACGATTCACCGTGTCGAAGGCTTTCGTCAGGTCCACGAAGGTAGAGTACAGGTGGGTCCGCATCTCCTGACACTTCTCCTGAAGTTGACGGGCGGCGAAGATCATATCCGTGGTCCCACGATGACGTCGGAAGCCGCATTGGCTTTCCGGCAGAAGGCCCTGTTCCAGATGATTATTCAGGCGGTTGAGAAGGATGCCGGCGAAGATCTTCCCGGCGATGTTCGGCAGGGAGATGCCGCGGTGATTGTCGCAGACTTGGCGATTCCCTTTGCGTTCGTAGAGATGCACGATGGTTGCGTCTTTGAAATCTTGCGGGACTTCACCTTGACGCCACAGCTCTTGGAAGAGCGCAGTCAGGTGATCCATCAGTTGGGGACCTCCGTGCTTGTAGACCTCAGCAGGGATCGCGTTCGATCCGGGTGCTTTCCCGCTGGAGAGCTGCTGCACGGCCCTGATGGTCTCCTGGAGAGATGGCGGGAGGTCGAGGTCCACGTTTGTCTCCACTTGCGGCAAACGCTCGATGGCGGCGTCGGAGATGACGGAGGGGCGGTTGAGGACGCCTCGGAAATGCTCGGCCCATCGCCGCAGGATTTGCGTCTTCTCAGTCAAAAGAGTGTTGCCGTCGGCGCTGAGGAGAGGAGCATTGCCCTTCGTCGGCAGAACGTAAACAGCTTTGATCACAGAGAAGAAGTTTTCCCATTCGTTGCGATCCACGTAGCCTTGGATCTCCTCTGCTTTGCGAGCAGTCCAGGCGTCCTGCATCTCGCGCAGTCATTGCTGAAGTTGGCGACGACTGCGGTAGAAGGCAGCTTTGGTGGCATCAGTGATGTGATCTACGTAGGCTTTGTGTAGGCGGTTCTTCTCAGCTAGCAGATTTCTGATGGCGGCGTCGTTGTCGTCGAACCAGTCCTGGTGTTGGCGGGGAGCGCGACCGAGGACGGCGAGCGCCATCGACTGGACCGTGTCTCGCAGTTGACACCAGCGGTTCTCCACGGAGGCGTTCTCGGCAGCGGCGGCGTCGGCAGCGATAGGAAGGTTGTCTAGCCGTTGAGCTAGCTCATTGCGGAAATGAAGATTATGAACGGGCAAAAACAACAAGACAACATTCAGCTTACCTGGGGGTCGCTTACCTTGTGGTCTCCTGCGAGGCTGTAGGCGAATACGCATCTTCGAGATGACGAGGCGATGGTCGGTCCACCCGTCAGCACCCGCGATTGCCTTCGTCACCAGCACGTCCCACTGATCTCGCCTCCGGACGAGGACATAGTCCAGCAGGTGCCACTGGCGCGACCGAGGATTCCTCCAGTTGGCCTTCTCTCGCTCCGGCAGACAGAAGAAGGTGTTCGTCAGGATGAGGCGGTGTTCTGCGCAGGTGCGGAGAAGCAGCAGACCATTGTCGTTTGAGCCGCGGAGACCGTGGGGACCCAGCACTCCTCTCCAGGCAGTATGGTCTGTGCCGACGCGGGCGTTGAAGTCGCCAAGGACAATCAACTTGTCCGCCTTCGACACAGTCGCCAAGAGGGCGTGCAGGTCCTCGTAGAATTTGTCTCTGACGGCGTCGGGGTTGGTCATCGTCGGAGCGTAGGCGCTGACGACGGTGGCGAATTTGCCTCATCAGAGAGGCAGGCGGAGGCTCACCAGGCGATCGTTGATGCCTTGCGGCAAACAGGGTAGTCGTCCCACGATGTCGTTCTGGATGGCGAAGGCGACACCCGCGTCTCGTCGCTCTGCCTTGGGTCGACCACTCCAGAAGAAGGTGTAGCCGGCACCCACCTCCTCCAGCTGGCCTTGTTCGGAGAATCGGGTCTCGCTGAGTGCGGCGATGTCCACCTCGTAGCGCGCCAGTTCTCGTGCCACTAGCGCCGTCCTCCGTTCCGGTCGGTTGCTTCTCGGATTGTCTAAAAGGGAACGAACATTCCAGGCTGCCAGAGTGAGCGGGCTCACGCTGCCAGTGTGGTGACAACGAGTGGGGCGACGGGAAGGAGGTGGAGAAGAAGATGACGAAGGAGAAGAAAAGGCAGAGGAATAGACGGAGGAAGAGAAATAAGAGGTAGGATGAGGAGAAGGAGTATGATTGTTGTTGTTATTGGTATTGTTGTTGTTTCGATTTTGATTGTTTCGACAATGATTAGACGTCTGCGGCCGTGGCTAGCCTGGAGACGGCGTGGTACCCAGCAATGTTTAGGCCACCTTTTCTAGGCCCTTCCCGTCGTGGGGGCTGGCAGTGCCATCCCTGAATAGGGCTGACATGTGTCGTTGTGGCACGGCCGAACTCCACTATGGGGCCACGACTTCGGGTTGTAGTGGAGAGTGACTCGAATTCGCCGTAAGCCGCGGTCTCCGACGGCGTAGGTGGGCGCGTCAAGGCGATTTCGATGTGGAGATCCATCCCGTCACCCGCTGTCCAGCGGCGTGCAGAGACGAACCACGTCACGACAGTGCCGACGCAAGGTTCCATCCGACCTTCCATCCAGCGGAATCCGCAAACCCTGTGCACACGGCACAGCGCACAGGGCCCCCTCACCTGGTTTAGCCCGCCGGTCGAGACGGTTGCCCGGGGTGTGGCCGCTGAGCAGAGCCCAGCTACGTGGAGCCACAGGTGAGAGTTGAGTGCCAGCAAGTGAACGCTAGGCGCAGTTTCACCTGCAAGCAAGTGAGCGACCACCACGACCATCACGTGAACCCACCGCTGACACCCCTACAGTTAGTTACCTAACTAATAAAAAGTATCGCAATTTACGAATGATTGCCAATCACTCGCAAACCGACACCATTTCATGAGTCCAATGTCTATGTTAATTAAGTACGAGTTTAAAAGAATTAAAAACATAAAAAAATTTGAAAGGCAGTGTTGTGTTGTTTTAAAATGCCGATTTATTTTGAAAAGCGCAATATCCCGAAAACGTCAGCAAGGGCTCTACTTTAGTAAACTTCGTTTTTAGATGTATAGAATGTATTCTCATGCCAAAAGCGTAGTAAAAAATGAACGCAGGCATAAAATAACGTTTAGTAATAGTGGTTTAGTGGAGTTTACATCTAAATATCCTTTAATAAGTTGTGTGATTTCATATATGACGGTTTGTTAACTGCCTGCATTCTGAATGTAGATTCCAAAACAGGTTTCCAGTGATGTACTTGGTATAATTACGTAAAAACAATTTCTGCACAAGAAAAGGACATTTCATTGAAGGATGTGGATCAGCGAACAAAATGCTCAACGTTAAAGGCGTCCAGAAATTCGTTCATCAGTTCCCGTTATCAGATTTCATAAGATGGGTCACGCACTGTAAGTATGCCCATCAGTCGAGGGCCGCTGTGCTTGTAGACTTCAGCAGGGATCTCATCGGATCCCGAAGTTTTCCCGATGGACAGCCAGTGGACGGCTCTGATTGTTTCCGGGAGGGAGGGTGGAGGAACAGGTCTTTGTTCGTTTCCACTTGCGGGAGCTGGTCGATGGCTGTACTGTAGGCGCACTACTTCACCCCCTGGTTCACAACAGATACTTGACCAGGATGTTAGTCAACAACAAAAATGGGTCAGAAAGAGAAGGATGACACGAGTCACCGGGCAACCATGCACATGGCCTGTATACCAAGTGGGAGCGCAAGCGCATCAACCGGTAGGGAACCAGGTTCCAGAGAACGGCCAGCGCATACCAGGCTGCAAGGACCATGGTTTGCGGAATCATGACATAGCAGACACACACACTTCCTAAACCATGGCTGGTAAAGCTGACAGTGACATGCCCTCATTTAATAAGGCACAAAAAAGGAGTCCGCGTTAGTGGCACTTGGATTTAATTAGGTAGGAGTGAACAAATTACTTGAGAACTCGTAACTTATATTCTGCTCAAATTGCAAAGACAGCGCCACTTAGAAGGGGGCCGAAGCCTCAACTATAAATGCGCTCGTTTTTCTGTTAATTGCCATTTTCGGCTAACCGGGAGCGGTATGTTTAGTCACGGACTTAATGACTCCTTCTTTATTTGATTTTAATAAGCAAATTTTAGATACTTTCAATCAGGGATATGAAGGGGGAATTCGCCCTCCTCATATTTCATCAAGGCCTTTTGAAAGAAAGTTCCCTTGCGGGCAGCTACAGAGGAGGGACAGTCGCTTTCTAGTGGTCTTGCCCACGTAGTGTAGGTGGTAGAGGAGTCTTTAACTGCAGGATCTAGATCTGTTGTAATGAAATTTCTGTGAATTCCGTTGTCATGGATTCGGGTGTGAGCAATTAGACCCATGCGGTGTCTTTATTTCTCGTGACATTGGGGACAGATGAGGCCGGTGGTGAGTCTGTATATTGAGGCCATAGAAACAGGCTAGTTAATATCTGTCCGGTTAAGTCGCAAGTGATCAAGCAAGCCTATGCGCGATGAGACGGTGCGAACACAATAGGCACAGTCTGGGACTGAGTCCGCATTGTTGCTGGAAATATGTTGTCGGACGGTGCGTGTATCCTCTTTGGTATTGCTAATAGCGGCGGTATTAGAGGTGTGCTGCAAGGTGAGAGGCAGATTGGTCGTGTTGACATTGCACTGGGTCTTCATATGCCCAATAAGGTCGATCCGGGACCCCAGTTTCCGTTGCCAGCGTACACACGATAGCGGGGGTTAGATGCCGGTGTCACTGTTCCGTAGCAGTTGAGGCTTGCGGGTCTCCCTCTTTTGACTGGCAGGGACTGTTCGGTTAACTTCGAAGATGGCTGATCCGGCCTATCGATCGTGAGCAAGGCCCTTCGAGATCTCCAGGATGATTTGCAGGTGCTTAACGTATCCTTCAAGGTATCCTTGTAGCGCTGCTTTTATTGGTCTTGTTGGCGACCGCCGTAGCCACGTCGAAGTAGAACAGCCACATGGGAAAAAGCGCATCGACCGTTCACACGACGTGGTTGCTCCATCACAGCTGTATCTGCCTCAACATGGGGTGAATACTGAGGACACCGGTTCCTTCCAGGATCTCACTGTCCGGGATCCATTCCAGCCACTGCGCTTTCAGTATCCTTCAGGGGCACCTGGGGTGAAAATGACTGAGTCGCCCTGCCTGGCCGTCATATAAAATGCATGTTTCCGCCCCATACAAGAACGTTGCCAAGACAACAGCCCTGTACATCCCGACTTCTGCGTTCAGTAGGATGTCGCGACAGTTTCAGAGGGAGGGTCATAGTCGGCCGAAAACTGGAGTGATTTTGGAGGTTTGTCTTGCGCTTCCGTCGTCGATTTTGATGTTTCCTGCAATTTTACTCTCAATGTACGTGAACATCTCTACTTGTGTGAGGTAAAATTCACTGACGTTGAGATAGGGTTCGGCGTAAGCAACATTTGGTACCGGTTGGTGCACGACCACTGTCTTCTGTGTGCTAATTATCAAGTCCAAGTTGGAGCAGCTGGAGACGAAGAAGCTCACACTCCGCTACATGTCCTCTTCCCTCATGGTGTTTAGCATGCAGTCATCCGTGAACAGTTGTTTGTGGACTCTGGCCTTGGGTACTCCTCGAAGATGCTGCCATGCTGAACAGTTTTCTGATGGTTCAGTAGTCGATGTGGATTCGCGGTGGCTCCTCAGGGCAGGCATCTATCAGCACGACGCATAACATGGGACCTATTAGGGTGGGAACGAGAGCACAGGCCTGCTCTACGCCATTGGTCACAGCAAATGTTTCAGAGATTGCCCCGTTGTCTGTGACGCGAACCATTATCCCGTCATGAAGCTGTCTTGCCAGTTGACCAAATCAATCAGGGTATCTGAATTTCAGCATGATTTTCAGACTTCATCACGATTCATTGCGTTAAATGCCTTCGCCAGATGGGCGAGAGTTGTGTAGAGGTTTGTCCTCATTTCGTGCAGTTTGCGGACCACAAAGGTCGTGGTTGCGCTGCGTACTTTGAATTCGCGCTGCGTTTCTGGAAAATGTTTCTACTCCAGCTGCGTGTTTAACGATCGCGTAGGGCACGAGGAAAGATTTTTCCTTCAACGTTGGAATGGGAAACGCTGTCGAGGTGATGGGGGATAGACAGCGCGAGGGTTCCCAAATAAACTGTCAGGGAAAACAGAGTTAGTAGTCACGTTTTACTGACGCTAGCGATCATGCACGCGACTCAGAAGACAGTGGCCACAAATATTCTCAACAGTTGAGTGTCAGCTGAACATGTCGTTAACCCCAGCGCAAAGAGTGTGCGTGCGTCAGGGCCCTGTCCGCCTGTGTCCAATCAGCGATGTGTGCAGCTTCGATTGGCGTCGATCTGTCGCCACTCCGGTACTAAGTTATTGCGATCCAGACGATTCACTGACTGGCTGACGGACTGAAGGTGGCATGGGTGGGCAATGGCGCTGGGGGTCACAGGAGCAAACAACCAAAATGGCTCTGACGTTATAACAGAGTTGCCGGTTCCCCTCGCGTTTGCAAATGTGCGCGATGGGGTCATCGTTTAAGCCTTTGAGGGTGCGTCCTTGTCTCCATACCACCTGGAAAAGCGAGATGAGTTTTTTCATGAATTGTGAGTCGCTGTACGGGTAGACTTCGATTCAAATTACGTCTGCTCCTGGTACTTTTGCAGTGGTCAGTTGTTGTTCTACTCTGATTGTAGATGGTGTTCTTTAAATTCAGTGCTGTTTTATTCACCTGAATAGACGCACCCGAGGTCAGAGCTATGTCAGAAGACAGTCAGGATAACTCGGTTATTCTTTGTGGTTCTATAGCAATAAACAGTGAGATTAGCGGAGCACAATAGAGTTAATAAGGTGGAGAATAAATTGAAAAGTGGACGTACATTCGAGGTGATAAGACGAGCAGTCAGCGAATGACGCCAAAGTGTGGTGGTCGGTTTATAAGCGAGCGGCAACAAAGAGCAATAGGCAATGGACAGGGAACAATGAACAAGGAATGACAAGAACTGACGAATAGGGATACAAAGACAAAGACAGGGCGGTGTGCGTAAAGTCTGGTTACTAGCAAACGGTTAGTAGCAAAGTAAAGACAAGAATAGAAATTGACATCAGGGATGTCACACTCCCCCGCGGAGTCGCGGTCTCCGAGGGCCTGAAAGCGTCACGGAGTTTCCATTTGATCCACTTCTCCTTCTAGTGGGCAGCTTGACGTATGTCCCTCCGTACATGACCTTTTGCTGTGCGTGCGATGACTCCACGAATTAAGTTGTCCGATCCTGCGTGTACTTCTTCGATTATTGCCTTAGACCATACACGTCGGGGTTTGTCTGCCGCCATTAGCAGAACATGTTGACCAATCCTGGGACCCGCTTGCGCAGACTTCCACTTCCGACAAACTGCGAGTGTCGGTAGGTAGTCTCTTAACCATTTCTTCCAATAGGTATCCGCTAGGAGTTGTGCCTGTCGCCATCTGCTATTAAATTGATTCTTCGGATTCGTACTTGATATTGGCTCGGACGAATTACTTCTTAGTATCAGCAACTTACTCGGTGTAAGCACGTACTGATCATCCGGGTCGTCACTCTGTCTTGCTAACGGCCTGTCGTTTAGAATTTGTTCAATTTCAGTTATAACCGTACGTATAACTTCATAAGTGAGGCGTTGTTCTTCTAGCACCACCGGAGAGTCTGTCACGTGGAAAGTTGTCGAAATCATTACGCTCATTTCTGTGCGGATCAACCTGGCTATCTTAACGGCTACCACAGCTGCCATTAACTCCACGCGTGGTAAGATAGTCGCGCGAATAGGATCGATTCTGACTTTGGAAAATATTAATCGAGAGCGCGTTGTTTCACTTTTGCCTCCGACGACCATGTAGGCGACTGCGCCATAAGCGGTTTCCGAAGCGTCACTAAGGGCATGGAGTTGAAAATCACAGTTTAGTTTCACCTCCTCTGGGGCATTTTTCTCGTAGCTTTCTGCACCATCAGTGATGGCTCTACTAAGCGCGAAGGTTGCACCACTTGAAGAGGATGTATCTTCAAACAAATGTTCTGTCATTCGGTATTCTTTCGGTGGTTGCGATAAGTCGCCATTCGTCCACCAGGGAACTCTTAAAACGTCACGGTCTTTCTCAGACACTCGACCTTGGTGGAAAATCGATTCAATATCGGTCATGATGGAGACTTTCTTCTGTCTGAATCCCGAAAGTATCCCGATTAACGAATTGGTCATATCAGGTCCGGAGAGTAGTTGATCGTTTAGGGAGATTCCGTAGAATTTAGCTGCGCAGTCAAAGACCACACGTATCTTATTTAGCTTGGCTGGGTGGAAAACGGGATGATGGGGAAGGTACCAAGAATAGGCTGCATCCTTGACCGGAACCTCTTCAGCATATCTAGACTCAATGTAGTCGCTCATTGTTTTCGTATACATTTGCAACTGATCTTCTGAATTTACGAGCCGTTTACTGAGCAGTCGGAGGCGCTGTAAAGTGCATAGCGTGTTCTTCGGAGGGATTGATGGGTGAGTTCTCCAAGGTAGGGCAAACATATAATGGCCCTCGTGAAAACAAAGGGTTTGGTAAATAGTCTTCAACGCGATGCGATCATTTACGGACAGATCTTTGTCTTTGTTTGGTCCCTCGTCAATGGAATCTTGTTGATAGATCAGCTCCAGATCCTTCTGAAACTCAACGAAGTTTGAGCAATACACCCGTCTCTTCTCTCTGGGAGTCAGATGTACAGGTCCCATCATTGTCCACCCCAAGGCCGTTCGAATGGCGTATGGTTCGTCTGCTTTGCCCAAGCATTGATCCTGTACCCAGTGTGCTTCCGGTACATCGCATCCTAACAACAGTCCGATCCCCATGTCTTCGCGTGATTCGAATTCGATCGTACTCACGTGAGGCCAGAGTGAGGCTAACTTATAACTTGACATGATTCGATTGGCTTGTGGCAGAGATTTGACAGAGTAAGCTCGTTTGACGTGAAAAGAAGTTTTTGTGCCTTTAGATTCTACGTCGAATTCTACTTCCTTGGTCTGCAATACAGTTTCCTTATTCAACGTTGATATGACGATATTCCTGCCTTTACCCTTCATTCCAAGGGCAGACACGAGACTATCAAGTATGAGCGTTGAATCGGAGCCGTTGTCTAAAAGTGCCAAAGTCCGTGCCGCATGGCGATTGTACCGGATGGTCACTGGAACAACTGCGAGGGCTACCCTTGGAACCCCTTCTTCGTGTCGGACTACGTGATGACTGAAAACATTCGACGGGCTATTGAGTTCTTCATTGTCGGGATGTAGCAGAGTATGATGTTCTCTTACACAGCCCTCGACTGTACACCCACGACGTGATCTGCAGTTCTTAGCGATATGATTCGCTTTCAGACAACGGCGGCACAGTTTACGCTCTTGTACAATCCTTCTCCTTTTCGTCTTGTCATAGGCCATAAATGTTGGACATTTATCTGGATAATGATCTTCTCCACAGACCGTGCAACAGACGGGGAAAGGGGTCCCATTACGCTTTATTTCCGCGCTGTTTGAAACAAGTACATTTCTATGAAGATGGTTTGATAATCTGTGTGTTCTACTGGGCTGCTGACCTTCATGATCTCTCAAACTAACCGCTAATTCGTCGAACCGAGTACAGGCAACATCAACGCGTTCTTCTATGAAGTTTGCGAGGTCTTGGAATTGTGGTTCTTCGCCCTGACGTATTGTATCTGAAGCGGTTTCAGCCCATTTGAATCTTAAAGGAGAGGGTAGTCGTCTCACAATCGACTCCAGAGTTCTGCTGGAATTGAGATCGGATGCATAGTTTAGTTGGTTCAAGGTTGCCACGCAAGCTTGCATTTGTTGACTGAGGTGGACCAACGCTGCGGTGTCGTTGCTTTTTATTTGAGGTCCATCGATTAATGCATCAATAAAGGCTCGGGCTACCATATAATTCTGGCCGAATCTTTTTCTCAAAATTTCTTTGGCCTTTTTAAAACCTTCCTCGGCGTCTAATATCGCACAATGTTGTATAGCCTCCTTCGCTTTCCCCTCACAGTACTGTACCAGGTAAGTGAGGCATGTCATGCTGTCATTAGTTTTTCTTTCAATTACAGAATAGAACTCTTTCACAAAAACACAATAAAATTTAGGGTTCCCGTCGAACTTCTGAATTTCACGCTTTGGCAGCTCTAGATGATACTCTTTGGTGCGAACTGGAGGTTCGACATTATCATTCGAACTACCATCTCTCTGTTGAGCGATCGCACAAACCTCGTTATCTTTATTCAATTCTTGACTTTCCATTTTCGTAAGCTGTAATCTTTCCAATTCAATGCGTCTTTCGATTTCTAGTAGACGTAGTTTGCTGAGCTCTATTTCAAGTCGCTGTCGTTCTAAATCTCTTTGATCTAAGGTAATTGGTGAAGCAGGTTGTGAGTGCAGCGACAGATCCGGAGGGCTGTTATCTGCGATTTGCTCGGACATGACTCGAATAACTTTGTAGATGGTGTTCTTTAAATTCAGTGCTGTTTTATTCACCTGAATAGACGCACCCGAGGTCAGAGCTATGTCAGAAGACAGTCAGGATAACTCGGTTATTCTTTGTGGTTCTATAGCAATAAACAGTGAGATTAGCGGAGCACAATAGAGTTAATAAGGTGGAGAATAAATTGAAAAGTGGACGTACATTCGAGGTGATAAGACGAGCAGTCAGCGAATGACGCCAAAGTGTGGTTGTCGGTTTATAAGCGAGCGGCAACAAAGAGCAATAGGCAATGGACAGGGAACAATGAACAAGGAATGACAAGAACTGACGAATAGGGATACAAAGACAAAGACAGGGCGGTGTGCGTAAAGTCTGGTTACTAGCAAACGGTTAGTAGCAAAGTAAAGACAAGAATAGAAATTGACATCAGGGATGTCACACTGATTGTCTTAAGGACTGAAGGCTGACAGTCGAGGCCATCGTTGGTGTCCACTAGCATTAGTTTCGAAAACGTCTTGTTGGCCACGTCTCCGAATTAGGACGTAGTCCAGCAAATACCAGTGACGCGAGTGAGGGTGCATCCACGCCGCCTGTTTCCCCATCGGAAGACGGAAGGTGTTGGTCAGAAGAAGATTGTGTTCCGCACAGGCTTATAGAAGAAGAAGGCCACTGCTGTTGCAGCTGTCGATCCCCTGGTGACCACACACTTCCTCCCAGACAGCACGGTCTGTGCAATGCGAATACTGAAGTTACATTCAGCGCAGTCGTCAGGAAAGTGTGCTGGGCTTCGTGAAACTTATTCTTCCCCCTGTCAGAGCTCGTCTTTGAAAAGCATAGACGCCAGCGATGGCGGGAATTTGTTCTCCGGCATCTCCTAACGCTGAAATTGGACCTCCTTTCCAGAAGAAGGTTTATCCGAAATTCACCTCCTCTTGTTGGGTCATTTCAGAGAGGCGGGTCTCACAGAGAACCGCCATATCCACTATGTGGCGGCTCAGTTCGCGGGTGACCAGAACCGGCCTTATTTCCAGACGGTTTGCCTCCGGATTGTCTAGAAGCCAACGACCATTCCAGGCTGCCATAATGAGCAGTGCTACTATGGCAGTCTGTAGAATGAGATTAAGGGAATGGGTACGGGGTAGTTATCTGTGAGGCTTTCAACGGCATTTTTGGTTCGGAAGCCACGATAAGCTTGTTCAGTTCAGTTTTATTAAGAGAAATATAGGCGAGTGCCTTTGAACTCCCTATTGATAACAAGTCGTTGGAGGGAAAAAACACTGATAAGTAGAAAATTGAAATTGAAATTTTGTACATAATTGCAGACGACTGCCAGCTTGAAGAAAAAAGAGTAATCATTAACACTTACTCACTAATTGCAAGTAGCATAAATATATATAAGTTGTGTCTGACTATGTGATTGGAGGTGAGGCCGGCAGTTGGGCGGCTTGATACGCGCCGAGTCTACACTTAAAGGAATTCACACAGGAGGAGACTACAACATCGGTAGGCAGGACATTCCACGCTGCAACCACTCTGCTGCTGAAAGGGAACTTTTGTCCATTAATCCTTGCTTTCCCTGAGTGTAGCTTCAGGGGATGACCGCGCAAAGTGGGCGTGTTAGCTGGGGTGAAGTAATCAGATGGATCTAAACGACAGTCTAATCTGTCGATTATACGAAATGTTAGTATACGGTTACCACGTAGGTGCCTGTAGGAAAGGGGAAACAGGTTGAGAGTTGACAGTCTGATTTCATAGGGCAATGCTCCCAGACCGTTTGTCATTTTGGTCGCCCATCTCTGAACCTTTTCCAAGACGGTATACTCCTTGGCAGTCCAATGTCTCCACGGCTGTATGGCGTACTCTAGATGAGGCCGCAAGAAAGTTCCAAATATTTTGGAAAGGCAGTCAATGTCAAATCCCACAAAAGCTCGCCTAATGAGTTGCAACGTTGCCATGGCAGACTTAGCCGCCTTCGCGCAGTTTAGTGCTGGTTTGATTGAAGATGTAATTCACACACCCGAGTCCCTCTGACTGTCAACTTGTTGCAGTGGTGTGCCGTGAAGAAGGCAAGTCCTGGGGCTGGAGGTTCTACAGCTGCCGATTTGAAGAAAGCTACACTTGCTCACATGGAAGGGCATAAACCAGCGCTTCGACGAGTCCTCGAGCCTGTTCAAGTTTGTTTGCAGGTGGTCTCCGTCTGCCGCATTGTGAATAACTTTCCACAATTTTACTTCGTCGACAAACAGAATGGCACCACAGTGTAGGTCCTTGGCGCAGTCCTTTATGAAACCGAGGGATAATGTGGGGTCTAAGATTGAGCTCTGTGGGACGCCGCTCACCACGCTTACCTCTGAGAACTGTTGGCAACCGACCTGCGCTCTTTGGGACCGTGCCGTCAAAAAGCTCTGTATCCGTGCAAGAAGGCGTCCACGCATTCCTGCGTTGCGCAGTTTGTGCAAGAGACGTTGGTGAGGGAATCTATCGAAAGCCTTTTTGAAGTCGATGTAGATGGCGTACACCACATCGCCTTCGTAGCGTGCTTTGGTCAACCGTTCGAGTGAAAGGAGCAAATTCGTGAGACAGAACGTACCACTTCGAAAGCCATGTTGGATATCGAAGAGGAAGTGGTGCTGCTCGAGAAATTGCATCAAGGCTTTCTTAGCGATCTTTTCCATGATTTTGCTACAGATGGAGGTGAGAATCACTGGTCTGTAGTTATTCGCAGACATAAGACTTCCACCCTTAAAAAGCGGAGTAATGGTAGCGCACTTCAAGTCGGAGGGCAGGCACCCCGTAACGATAAACGTTTGAAATATCAAGGATAACGGTTTGGACATTTCGGGGGCTAGCTCCTTCAGCAGCTTGGCCGGAATTGCATCAGGGCCTGGGGAGGTCGATTCCTCCAGGTTTAGTAACTCTTTCTGAAAGATTGGTTCGGTTAATAAGACTGTTTCAAAAGTAGGCGTTTCTTCGTCTTCACAAGTGTGTGAGAAAAAATCGAGTTCAGTTGCCACGACGGACTTGAAGAACTGAAGGAGATGCTCGGCCTTATCCTTGTCACCTGAGATTTCCGTTTCCCTAGCCGTTCGCAGCAGTGGGCTGGGGTCTTTGTTCCGTGTACTCTGCCATATGTAACTGTAAAGGACTTTGGGATTAACTGTGACAGGTCTCGAAAGATCCTTTTCGAAGGCTTTCCAATCTCTGGCGATGAGAATTTTGACCCGGTTTCTCTGTAACTTATAATTGCTTAAGTATTCTGGCGTCCGGTCTAAGAGCCATCTTTCCCATAGCTTCATCTTCCTGTTAACTTCCTCCTTTAAGGTCGGAGTCAACCAGCGGGATCTATTCGTTAGCCTTCTGCGCATGATTGGACAGTGGTTGGAGATGAGGCTGTAGACTATCTCTTTGAACTGGCACCAAACCTCCTCGATATCGCCGGAGAGAGTGGATGCCCAGATGATAGGACGATGATCTTTTTTCATCTGTTCGAAACGCCGCGCCAAATATAGGGTCGAGAATCGAGCAGATGTGCAGGCAGGGAGAATAAGATGTATTCGCATATGAGAACTACATCGTCACTCTGACCCAACGGGGGGAGGCAATTCACGGCGTCGATATTATCAGACGACTTGGTGAACACAAAATCGCGGCAGTTCATTTGTTGGCCCTCTCGAACTCTCATTGGAAACACTACGTGTTGGGTGAGAAGCAAATTGTAGATGGTACGCAGTAGCTGCTGGTCGAATGCTGTTTCAGAGCAGTCAGAAGAGGCCGAGCTGTAGTCGATGTGAGGTGCATTCAAATCCCTAAAGATGAGAGTATTCGGCTGGGTTGAAAATAATCTGAGGTCGTCGAGCAGTTGGGCGTCAGCGTCAGGGTCGTTTCTCGGGGTGCGATATACTGTCAAGATATCGAGGCTTTGAGAGCCCGGTGCCCTTATGATCAACCACAATTCTTCCGTAATGCAAGTCAATTGGGCAGTTTTTTCTGAAACGTACAAGCCTTCTTAACAAATGTTACTATGCCTCCACCCCTTTTCTTTTCTCTGGCTCTGCGGAACAGTTGAAATCCAGGGAGCATGAGCTCTCTATCATCAGCGTGTTCGGACACCCATATTACTGTTATTAAGATAACATCTGGGTGGCGGTCGTAAGTATGGATACGGAGTTCATCCAGTTTTGAAAGTAAGCTTTGCGAATTGCTATCCATAAATACGAGTTTCGAGTTCATGCGAGATTTGTTTTCAAGCCCGACACAGGCTACTGGGGTATCTGTGCGGTCATTCGGACCGGCTTGTTCCAAAGGGGAGCGAAATGTCGTTTGACTATCCGCTCTTTGTAGATTGTGAAGTTTTTTCGGCATTGGTTTGCCGTTTTCTCAATTCTAGGACAGGTTCGCGGCGTTTCATTTTTTGGCAGGTAAGTAGTCCGGCGTGTTGTTCCAGCATCTTCCGGACACCTTTCTAGTCCCCACCCCTGAAATGAACTGCATATTTCTCCCAAACAGATGTCGATTTCCACAATGGGTCATGGCTCTTGTCTAGTGAGATGACCCGAGTTAGCCCGGGTCACCTACAGAATTGTATAAAGGTCCGGCCATAGAGCTTCTTGTTTGGGAACCCGATTTTACAACCCGAGACGCAGGATAAGGCTATAGCAAATGGTCATAGTTTAGGTCCTTAGTTAGTGGGACAGTTGGGATTCACCCAGTGACGCTGCCGTAACCGGATTAGCTCAGGGGCATTATAATTTTTTGGTGCAGTGCTGTTGCTTTCTGCCAACCCCGAAAAACGACATCAAAATCGATTAGGGATGACCGCAAAAAAATTACTGCTCTGTGAACTGGCTACCACAATGGAGAGGTTTTAAAACACCTGTAGACCTCCATTTGCCCCATCAAATTTGATAAAGTGGACTTTACCATTGTCATTTTTGTGAAGTTCAGAGTATAAGCGATTCGATAGCGAAACAAGCAGGCTGAATCCTGGGGTTCGCATGAATGCGCTGCGCCGTACTCTGTAGTTATGGCTTTCGATCAGCAATCGACGACTGCCTTATTAATTTTACTGCAACGTTCGATTACGTCCATCGTGGACCATTTTAATGGATCACGGATCTTGATGGTACGCCCGCAAAATCCCCGTCATGGTTGGAACCAATTGTCGTTTAACGACTGCACGAGTTCTGGCTCAAAAGATTCTCTCCCGACGTTAGATATTCGGTTTGACGTTCGACAAGGCTGTTCTCTGTTGCCCGGGCTGTAGGTGTGTCTAATTGTGCGTTCTACTTGAAGCTCATTGCAGGTCACATGATTTTTCTCGTGCAGATGGTGACTACGCCTAACATCAATTAACTGGCAAAAAACTCTCACCTATGTCTCCTCGAAGCTGGACTCCGCCCGGCCATCACACCTCAGTAACCGACTCGACCGGCGGACTAGACCATGCGAGGATATTCCGTGTTATGTGTGCCCTCAAACCCGGTACTTATGTTTTCCTTCTCACCCCTTCCCTCCCTCCACTTTAGAAGGTCCTGCAGAGAGTTAATATGAAATCCCGTAGGCAGCCCAGGCTAACGCTTGTCGCTCTCAAGTAAAGAAAGTTGTGACCCATAAAGAGTTCGGCAGTCTTCCGGGATGTCTAAGCAGCCCTGTTCAGGAATAGAACTGCTTGCTCGCTAGGGTAGAAGAGTCTAGAAAAGGTAACCTAAAAACGCCGAGGAATTACGCCATCTGCTAGTATATCGTGGCTCGTAGAT